TACAGAGAGCAATTACCTGGAAAATCTACGGTAGAAAATCCACCGACACAGCCCCAGATTATTATCTATGTAATGCCCAAAGTTGGTCAAAAATTGTGGCACTTGCAGCCACAGAAATGGTGGAAGGATGACGAAGCTCATTTAATGGATTTGGATGTTGATTCTTCGCAGCATTTTCACCGACAGGAACTTGTGTCAAATGTTTTGCTACGTAACGCGGTCAATGGTGAAGGATTTTTGTATAGAGAAAATGAACTAGTGACTTCCAGCACTTTTCATCGCTTTGGTAATGATGTTTAGAAGAGATTTTTGTAGGTAAACCCCTTAAGGAGAGGGCTAGAGAGAAAACAAATCTATTTTAGTTCCCTTAATAATGTAATTTTTTTCTCTAAGTGTATGCTAAGCACGGAAGTTCTAAGTTGTTGTAAAATATCAATGGAGAAGATATTACTGAAAATTAACTAAAGATAGAAAAGATGAAAATATATTTATATAATTTGTTCCTAAATGTTAAATTATATCATTCATTTACTAATAAAATTTAATCTATTGTATTGTATATGTAATTTTTTGTAATATTTTCGCAAGGAAATGTTTCCATTGATATTTTCCCCAACTTTCCCTACAACATTTTATTAGCTTCAACAAATTGTCGGACACATTTGTCACTGGACACACCACCAATGTGTGTCCCTTTATATACAGTCTAGGCCAAGAGCCAATCAACTATATAGGATTTCGGGTGACGTATTTTAAGCATTTTTAAGACTCTAGACGCTAGAGTGAAAGTCGCAAATTGTGGGAGGGAGGAATATGAAACGTTGTGGCTACGGGCAAATCTCCAAACAGTTGACATCGACACGGAGTTGACTCACAGCGCGATACGCGGCCTGTGCCAGCGATACCTTCATCAAGATGACTGCATTTCAAATCCTGGTGCACCGTGCAGCTGCACAATGGAGAGGAATTGAAGGTCAGATTCTTTGCGAAGGCTGCACCCGATTGCAATGGCTCTCGAATGGAATACCTCGAGAATTTTGAAGTTTTCCAAAAGGAGATTGCCCTGCATAAAAATGTTCTGCCCGAAGTATAGGCAGCCTGCGCTCAAGTGGCACTTAAATGCTACTATGCCAATAAGAATCAGTTGTTGTTCGAGAACCTAGCGAATGGACAGTGGGCGCGACGGCGACTGATGGACCACCTGCGACACCAGCGAGCACACCAAACGCATCCCCTTTTCCAACTGTCCACCGACAAAGTACAGCCTAATGGCTGCCTCGAAATTGCTACAATGCGCCAGCTGATCGCCCACCATACCCGCCAGAAAATACTTGTCAAAGTCCATGGCATGGAACAGGGCCAAGATGCCGCTGAAAGCGAAAGGGCCGTTGCGCTGCCAAAGATCAGCTCAATCATTTGCTGGTCACAGTTCTCGACAAGCAAATCGCTGACACAGCTGAGCATGAGGCTGCTGCCGTTGCCGTCCTTTAAGTGGCGCAACAGGAAATAGTGGTGAAGCGCATCCTTCGTATTGGTAAGCTAAAAAGCACTTGGCTTAAGTCAATCAGTGCCTGATGCATGGAGCTCGGTGTGCTTAGTATGTGGATCTTATTCAAGGCAATGGCCATGGCAATGGCAAAATCATTGGCCGAATCGAACTGACCCGTAAGTATGAGTACACTGAAGTAGAGGGGCGCTTTTTCGCTTGCATTGGAGTAGTTCTCTCCGTACTTTTCCAGAATGAGGCTTTGCAGGCCGTTGTACGTGAGCTGCTCGATGTCGTACTCACGCTCGCCGTCGAGCCAAACGGGCGCACGCTGCCAGCAGGTTGGTGCAATTGAGCAATTGAGTTGGTGCGATTGAGCAGGGAACGTGGCGTGGGATTCTCTGGCAGAATTGTGGACACAGACTGGCGCTGAACATCGGGAAATTCATCCTGTTTGGGCCCAACCAGGACATTCAGCAGGGACTCCTTCTCCACACCCCACTCTGAATAGATTCTGCGCCACGTTTGCCTCTCCACTGACTAACGAAATCTGCAAAATGTAATTCCAGGCATTTCATCACGAAAAACCGCCAACCGAGTCGACACTTTATGACTTCTTACCAAACGATTAGTCTCATCGAGTACGGACAGTATGGCGTTCTCGCGCTCGTTCCTCAGAAAGGCGCGCACATGGGTGTCCGAGACGGGGTCCAGCGGCTCAAAGGTCTTCCGCCCATGGACGCCACGCTTTAAGCAAAGTTGCCACACAGTTCACAGAAAACATTGTTGCCACCAAGCTAACGATTGAGCTAACTAATCGAACCACTGGCAAGTGAACAGACCCACTAAACAGGGAACAACTGAACAAGTAAGCGAACAACTGAACAACTGAGTGACCAAGTGAACAACTGAGAAACTGAACAAAAGATTAGTGAACATGTTAAGCTAGCTCACTGAAGTGAACAACTATTTTTTGTTCACTCACTCATGAGCGATCCAACTCTAAATGCCTACCGATAGGGATTCAGCGAATTTCCGAAAAACATATTTTAGCTTAATTTCTTTCATCTATTTATATCATCACACCTGTAGGTGTGATTTAATAGTCTATCCTATACTATAGGAGTAAATAGGGTATATTTTATTTGTTTTTTAACATCCACTTTCTCGGATGTTTTTGTAGAATGTGGATTATTATTGTTTTTACATTCAGACTTTTTAATGTGCTGAATACGTTTTCTTTGTTTTGAACCACGAATCGAACTCCTAGTCTTTGATTACTCTCGGAAACAGCACTTGCTTTCGACGATGCGTCGTTGCCAGACCCCGATTGGGTTGAGCCGCCTCATTTGTTTCCGACCCCATAAGGTACACATGTACATACATATATATATATATATAATCTTAATCAACATCAAAAGCCGAGTCGATATAGACATGTCTGCCTGTCCATCCGTCCGTCTTGTTGAGCGCCTGGATCTGCGGTATCCACAATTTTGGAGATTAAAGAAAACTAAAAAGAAATACAAGAAAAAAAACAAGAAAACCACATCTTTCAGATCACCAAATTGGGATCAGATTGGATTATTATTATAGCCAGAATGAAGAAATTAATTTTCAGTGGCTACCCCCATAGCGTCCAGCAGCTTTTTTTTCTCTTTTTTTGCACATTCTCTCATTTTATACTCTGCTTCGTTCAGTGTGTGGCTCTTGCGGAGGGGGGCGTGCTAACAGAGCATGAGAAGTTATGTAGATGTAGAGGTAGATGACATTTGTAGAACAAAATTTGAAATTAAAAAAAAAACCACAAGGTACAGATGCACTACTAAGTACCGGGTATAAAAGTTGTGACGCGTAAGAAGCGTCTCACACGTCCATCCTCGTTTTATTTCCTTTCCCCTTCACTATTTCAACTGCGACCACTCCAAAACGGCTGGTTGTGCTAGTAAACAGTAAGTAAGAACTAAACAACCAGCAAGTAGCCTTTTGATACCCTGTATAAATATGTAGTTTTACTCAAAAAGCTAAAAAGGAAAATGTCTCCCTTTATTGGAAAAATCCTCTTGATACTCACTCTCGTACTTATTGGCTATGGCCTCAAGCTGTTGCTTCAAAATATTCAAAATAATTTCGAGCGAGACAAGGCTGAAACGCGCCATTATCCAGGGTATGTGCGTCAGCATGGGGAGTACTGGGTATGGCATAATTATATAGTGGCGGGCGAGGATTTAATTGCTAATGAAAGTGTGACACTGGCCACACATGGCACCTATGCGGACCTAAAGCTGCTGCCAACGTTGCTGGTCAGATGGCAGGCGCCCATTAGCCTCTCGATCTATGCCAATGGTGAGGATCTGGTTAGGACCATGAAAGGTTTGGCCTACATCAATAGCTGCCTGCAGATGAGCGTCCTTATGCGTCGCTATGTCAGCGTTCATTTGGTGTGGCATGGGCAGCACATGCCACGGAATATCCGACGCGGCAGCATGGGCGTCACGGCCGATTCCTTGATGTGTGATGCGGCGCCAATATATTTAAATTCGTCACAAGATCAGACCTACTGGCATCGCAAGAAGCTGCAATATCCTGTGAATCTGCTAAGGAATGTGGCACGTTTGAATGTCTTAACGTATTATGTTTTTTCCATGGATATGCAAATGCTCCCGACATATAATTTTCCCAGAAAATTTGTGAATTTCGTATTGAATCATGATGTGTGGCGTTATGCAGATATATCACAGCCTTACACCACGTGGGTTTGAATAGTCTTTGAATTAAATTTTTTTCTTTGTTAAAATATCTTTTGTATTTCCTTATATGTAAGTGTCTTTTGTTTGCTGACATTCCCGCATGTGCTGGAGGCACCTTTGGCGCAGAATAAATTCCAATTGGTTATGATTTTGAGGGATTTCAATATCACGAGTCCTGTGTACGACAATATCGATGTGCAAATGGAATGGCTAAGCACTCGGCATATCAGAGATGATTTATACATATTTAGCCGCTCAAAGAAAATGGATACGTGCGTGGCCTATGTGAGCATCAATGAGCTGGAACCGCTCTACGATGAGAACAATCAAATGGAATCGATTTATAAACATGGTGCTAATTTAAAGGTGCACGAAGGGGCTTCAAAAATGGCTTAAGAAATTATTTGTTCCCACCCTAAATCTCTAATTAAATCTCTTCCCTAGGCCCAAGTATTAATGGACTTGAATTACACTTTCATTATCCTGGATGGTGCCTTTCTCATACGTCGCACTCTGGATAGCTGGCAGAACATTAAGCCCAATGATCATGTAACTGTTGGCCAAGACAGAGACTCACGTTTGTGGCACATCTGGCATTTGTTCTACCATCAAATGATAAGGTTCGTAAAGTGAAAAATCCCACCTCTACCTCACTTCAAGTCCCTCCTTTAATTACAGCTTAGTGCCCAAGGATTTTGCACAGAATTGGTATACTCGTTCGCGTCATTCGCGTTATAGTCAGTTAATGAAACAACGCTACGATATGGCCTTGAATGGCTATATTTAAAATGTAAATAACAAAACGAACACTTAGCAAAATAAATGGGGGAGAATATCACTTTCTGTATCTAAATTCCGTTCTATTGGGAGTTCCTCCCCAGCTCGTGTCACGTTGTGCAGCTCTTTCGGCGGCCATACAAGACTCGATATTCGGGCTCGATTTTGGTTTTAATGAAACGCGTCATATCTCGGGCGTATATCTGGCGAGTTGATTGCGTGCCATTGTTCTTCTTGATGCCGGGACTGTGGACGAGGAAGGCGGGATGCAGGACGTGATATTCATAGCCCAAGAGGCACATGGCATAGTTCTGAAAGAGAGATAATTTATCAATTTATCGATTATTTTGAAATATTTTCCGAATAGTTTTCAAACAAATTTTGAATTTCTTTCGATTATTTATCGATAAGTGCATATTAATTATCGAAATGTTATCGATTCATTTTAGATTATTTTTTTAAATAATCTATCTACAATTAATTGAGTTTTCTTGGAACATTTGTTTACAACCGATCGTTTATACATCGATTATTCGTGAAAACATTCCATAAATAATTAATAAATCATCGATAAACCTTCGATTATTTATTAATCAATCGTGCATGAATCATCAAAATATCGACAAATTGTATATCATTTATCAAACAATTTATCCACAATTAAACTATTATTTATCGAACATTCATACAAAACTCTACGATAGTTTATCGATGATTACCTGTATCCGTTTGTTGGACTGCCCCTCCCACGTCACTCGCTCATCGAAAATTGGCTCCTTGTTGTCGCTCACATAGAAGGGCTCCCAATACCTAAACTCCTTCTCCCGCAACGCTTCGCTCCACACGTGCAGCTCATTCGTGACGCTGGGCGCACGATTCAGCCATTGCTCTTGCCCCGGCACCTTGTGGCATGAGGCACACATCTTTTTGTGAAACGTTTGAGCCAAACCCTCACGGTACAGGGCCAGCAGCTGCGCCTTGTCATTGGGTACAGGTACACCCGCTTGCAGCTCAAAGACAGGCAAAGGATAGACACGACCAGGCTGCTTGGGATCCAGGGCCAGAATGCTCTGATTAGCAACCACCATATCGAGAAACTGATCCACAAAACCCACACTGGGATAAAGTTCGATGTCGCAAGCAAAGATAAAGTACGTATTGGCCGCCTTTCGTGCTATATTCCGTCCGACATTGATCGGGTATGTGAGATTTGCGGCCACCTTGTACATAGCCTCACGCGGCCTCAAAGTCCATGGCGGCGGTGCTTGGGTGCCATTTTTTAGCTCACAAACAAAGGGCCGCTGCAGCACCTCTGCCTCGTTGTGTGGCACATTTACGGGCATATGCAAATTCGAAAAATACAAATGAAATGTGACAAAGTCATTGATGTACTCGCTGCCAGGCAGACAATTTTTCACATATTGTATGGAGTCAAGTGTGGTGTTTAGATCGTAGCCGGGTGCGTGGATGGCAAAGCTAATGGGTGCGCGCCAGCTGTGGGAGAGATAAATAGTTAATAAATAAATATAAATAATAGTTAGTAGCAGGGGAACAGATTGTAAATTATGAATTTTTTCAATTTTAAATTGTTTCGAGGCTGTTTTTGCTACATTTTGTGTGTAATTATGTTCCGCTTGGCATGATTCTTGTGTGGAAAATATATAAGAATATTTCATGATGCAACATATCGATATTACCAAAAGTATAACCTTTTACTGGTATTTACCTAACCTCTAGGTGGCACTTTAATCACTGTCTATGCCCCCAAATAAATGTAATTTCAGCTTTTATGTGCCCATCAGTCAGTCATAAATTCAGCACTCATCACAATAGATTGTGTACCTTTATCACCAAATAGTTTCATGGACCCCAGCGATAAGCACTCACCGTTCTGCCACCATTTCCAAATTATCGAAGAACGTATAATCCCCATTGGTGGTGTATGTGATCGATTCCGTGCAACGCATCAGCCGACTTTTGCGGCCAACAATTAGATTCTGCAACAGCCAGTATTCGCCATGTTGCAGCCGCTCAAATGTAAGATTTCTCGTGCGGCATTTTAGCAATTGTTGCAACAACTGGCCGCGTGGGGTGAGCGGTGGTATGGGTGGCTGTTCCACTTGCTGATAATCCTCCGAAAACTCCTCGGTTGTGTACAAAGATTCATCAAAGGTAAAATGGGATCTGCTTCGGCTGGATATCTGCGCTTGACTGAGATGCTTTGCCTGTTGCAAGTTGCGCCAGACGAGCACCAGGGCCACTGTGAGTAGCAGCAGAATGGGCCACATTCGGTTTCCACACTTGGCCATGGCGCTGCGATTTCTGTCCGAGTTTCTCCGATGTTCCTTAATTTATGGCCTCGCAACGCTGTTTGTGAGCTCTAAAAAATAATGGAAAAAGAAAACATTGACACACTCCGCAGTTTGATAAGGGACAGGTCAGGGCGGATCTCATTACCAGCCACCCACAACCCTTCAATGGGGGAAAAACTACTCCCAATACGTGGCGCGGTCCCAAGCGAAATTCGTAGCCAGAGGTCGTGCCCGGGTTTTGGTTGCCTAATTTTATGCCTTTATGTGCCATTATTATGCTATCGATAGAGTGCTAATTATTATGGGTTCTCTCTCTCCCACTCACATTCCCTTTTCATACAAAAAAACACAAAAATAAAATAGAAAACCCCGAAATAAAGAAAAGGCAGCGGGAAAACTGATATGTGCACGTTTTCATAGATAGAACGAATTTATTTATGGCAGTTTTATATATAACTTATATTTATTGTATTGGTTATTGAGCTGAGGTGAAGCAGTCTTTCAATGGTAGCTCTAAAAATGCTCTAAAATATTAAAATTACTAAAAACACTACATCAAATATAGCTAAAACATTTGTAACAAAGTCGTAAAATTAAAATAATTGAAGTTGAATAATTGTACAAACCAAGATGTTTGAAATGTCTTAAAATAATACTACTAGATTTCAGCATAATTGAGTATAATTTTCGTATAATCTTATTGGATTTACAGCAACCAATTCAACGAAAATAACTTGGGAAAATATGAAAAAAATTCGAATCAAAGTATTTCCAACATTTTTAGATGCCTGAAGTTCGATAAATAAATGAAATGAAATGTGATTTGCAATTTTATATAAATTTCAATTATTTGTAAAGCTATAATATTTATGGTCTAGAAGAGTGAATAAGAGCGACCGAGAGTGTTTGCCCCGACACAATTTTTCCACATCAAACCAAACCAATTTTTTTGTTAAAATTTCGGCTTTAAAGATGAAGGCAGAACTATTTTTTAAGCCAGAAATACTCTAGCAGTTTTACCTGGATTTTTTTTTTCATTTTTATAGGTTAAGTTGATTTTAATCAGAAATATCTTCAAAGTCAAAATTTCGTTAAAAATACCTCACACAATCATAATTTTTTTCATTTTAAAGCTTAATATTTCCCAGACGGTAAACTAAAACCACAAAGTGTTTGGGTTCAATTTTTAGCTGCATCATTTAGCTGTTCAGCTCGACAATGTTTTTTCACAACCAGATCTAGGATACATAAGTTATGGAAAAAGGAACCATTACCTCTGAAAACAGCAAAACAAAAAAATTCCTCTAAAAATTCTTAAAAAAAGTTCTGCCAAAGAAAAAGCTTTAGGCGAAAATTATTCTTTAGTTAGTTTTTTTAGTTAGTTCTTTTTAGTTTTTGAAATATTCGTTTATTATTCGAAGTTTTTGTACAATTTAAAGGGGCCGTGAACTACGATTCGGTGCGTTAAACTTCACAATAATTTGAGAGCTCGATTAAAAGAAAGGGTTCGAGTTGGACATAGAAAATAATTTGACTGCTCGGAGATGCGCTGCGATCGACAATACTTTAGACTGTGTAGCGTGCAGGTGTGGGATAGATGTATTTTTACCCAAACTAGTACAAAGAGATTTCGTGTGCACCTCTAGCTCTATCTAAGCTCGCCAGATTGTCGGGGTTCGTTCTTTTCTCTCCTATATTATGTACTGACACACACTCGCATAATGCGAGTGCAGAACCTGTGCAGAACACAGGTTAAACTGAACTGAATGTATGGAAAGTGGATTAATTATTTGTTTGTTGAGAAATGGGGGATGATGATATCAACCACTCTATTCAAACCATGGGAGACTCAGGTGTCGTCGACTAAGGTAAATCGAACCGTATAGACCCTAGAATAATCAGGCAGTTTTCATCCTACCACTTCGACCTTGCTTGCTAGAACATATTATAAATGTGTTTCATGTTTCATGTTTCCATGACTTCCATGACTCTGGACATCTGTCCTGCTGTCGGCGGTGGCTCCTCTGTAGTCAGGTCCGTCAAAATCACGTCCAATGCTCTAGCTCTGGACACCGGGCTAAAATGTGAAACATTCGGCTTGATGTCAAACTGCAGCTTACATTTGCACTAAAGAGTGCGACGAACTGGTGGTCTCAGTGGAGTTGGTGAAAGGTTCCGAGGCGCCGCCTTACGCGCTGAGCTTCCTAAGGGTTGCTACGCCTCACTATTGTTGACCCAAGTCAGAGGTTTTCGGGGCTCGGCGTTTCGGAGCAGAAGATGGGGGAATCGAGGGCTACCCCTTGTAGTTTGGGGGATCACCTCGGTGATACGCCTCTCGTGGAGCACCACGTATATGCACATATGCGCACTTAGGCTGCTAAGGGCTCCTGACCTCTGTCCTATAAACTTAATTCGCATAAATTACACTGGTCACTTTCCTAGCTCACGGCAGACACCTTGGTTGATTGTTTTTACTAGGCACTAGCACAGATCAGCACAGATTATTGTGAATTTATGGCTTACAAGAAAACTTCACCACGAGGGATTATGTAAGTTTTGTGTAGGTTATATCTCCATATATACAATAAGACTTGCCACAATCACGTGGTTTTGTCGATCGACTCTTTGCTAATAACTCTAGCAAAACTCATTCCAGTGAAGCTAGGCTGTACCGGACTAAAGATCTGATGACGTTTGGGAGCTTTAACGGTACACTCGCGTGATCTTTCGCTGACTTGAGTGGAATTTCTGTCAAGCGTCAAGGTCAAGTTCTATGCTCTCGATACCTAACTCTCTTATTAAGATAAGCGCACGGCTCTCGCTTGCTTGTGCTAACAGTGCAGCGACTCTCTTTCGTAAGCTCGGCGTAAAGCTTACCCTTTCGGAGTTCTCTTTCGGCATGCACTTTTTAATCGCTACCGAACAGGGAATTCTGTGTATCGGTGATGCTCTAAGCTATCTCCCTACTTTCGGCCCCTACAACTGCGCGCGCTTCTATGCACTGTGAGAGGGAGCGATGAGCGGGACAATGGCATATTGGCATAAGAGATTATAAAGAGAGTATGAATATAAACATGGCGAGCTGATCTTAATAATAATATATTTGCTGCTGCTCCGAACATCTACATACATACATGATTACATACAGTGATCTCTGGGTTTGATGTTCCAAATACAAAAATATTTGTATGGCTTTGAAAACTTTTCCATATTTATTTTTATTCGTTGTTGCAGAATGTCTTTCTATGGCAGACTTTCAAGTGCTAACGAGTGGCCTGCTTACTCGACACAGTCTTGAAATTAAGGTGTAAATATGGGAATATTTCCACTGATCTTTCTGTTTACGAGATACACCCACTATTCCACACACCTCTTTGCCATTTCCTTTAAGACATATCTGTACAGTCGCAAATGTAACGTCTGACTTCTGAGTATTAGCCACAATCAAACGGGTTTTAAGTGTAAGTAATTTCCTCACGCAATTACTTGAACAGTCAGACAATCTGTGTTGATAAAGCAATCGAAAAGTTGTAATTTTGCTGTACTTAGAGGGAAGTGTTTGATACGTTTTTATCACTGGAGCCTATCACTATCGTCTTTAACGTGCAACAAATAATCACACTGTTGCTGGATTTACACGCACTTTTAGTTTATTTTATGGATAATTGATTATACACTTTTGTGTCATATTTATCGCACTTTTCACCGCGTTCCAGGCCTGCACCTAGTTCCAAAATGTACATTAAAAAATCATCTGATAGATTGTATGAATTTGTGACAACTTCCACTTTAATCTTATCTTAGAACAAGACATTATTTTGGAATTACCAGCGAGAAATCAATTGATGATTCAACGTTTGTGCGTTCTTATGATCGCTGTGATATACTGTGAGTAGAGGGTGTTGAAAAATAGGAGCCATATGGTCCATAAACGAGCGAGCAAACGCGCCTCCAAACACCCTTTGTCATGGAGCTATGGAATCCAACTGAATTCGAAAGAAAAACAGGTGAAAGGAGGCACCAAAGCAGCACCAATAGAAACTATCAGCAATCAGCATAAAGATTGGAACTTCTATCAGCTATCAGCAAACAGTTTTTTCCTTCAAATCATTGACTAATAGAGCAATCCAAATGGGTGCAGCATATCTGAACGCTGCTTATAGCTTATGGTAATTTGTAGTTGGCTTTTATCAGTAACAATCAAAAGTTATGAACAGCATATTTAAACTTTTGCTTACTCGAATTATAGGCTTGTTTTCTTACTCTTGGTTTCGTTTTGGGGCTGATGGCAAGTGGCGTTTGGGGTGCACTTTTGGGCCACTTTATGCTGCACAATGAATATAAAATTAATCTTCCCATAAGCTTAGCTTAATAATTTAATTTTGAACACCATTCACAGCATTTAATGACTGCATTTGGCTGCGTACTACACGTTTTAAGAGGTTTAAAATATTTAATTTCTAAAGCTAATTTATAATTTCTCTCTCTAATTTCTTCTCTAAGGAGCGTCTTCTAAGGGTCCAAAATCTGCTTTTTATCTAGTAACAAAGACAATTATCATACAATTTGAGCAGCTCCTGACTTGCAGCAGATTCTAAAAGGTTTTCTGTGGCAAGACAGAAACCTGTAGAAGATAAAATCTTCCAGTTTAGAGGCAAATCTCAAAGAATTTGCAATTTTTCTGCTCTTCCGATTCTACATTGTAAGCGGGTCCGTTGCCACTTTCCTTTAGCTGTCCCCTCGCTTTTATTTGCCATTATTTGTTCCGTCTTCCGAGCTCCAAGCATTGCTGCAGCTGCCAGCCTCCAACATCCAACGATCTCTGGTATTACCGCCACTACCTCCCAACGCTCTTGGCTAGAACAAACCCGTCTGTGTGCGTTCCAGCAAATGATTGAGGGCTACTGGCTGCCAATTGCTAAAGGAACTATCGCTCAGCATGCACACATTGCGATCGATGTAGCAAAAGAGTTTGCCCACCCGATAAATCTACAAAAATCGTAAGATTAGTCAAGGAAAAACTGAAAGTTCCAAACCCCCGCAACCTTACCTGTTTGCCCATTTCTCTCCTCCCTGGCAGCGGAGCAAAGATGATGCCCAACTCTGCACATTTCTGCGAGACCAACTCCTTGAACTCCAGCTGTGTGGGCGGTGCCACATCCATCATCATGAGTGGCGGCAGCAGACCCGCCACAGCGGGCGGTGCTGGCGGTGTGGGTGGAGGCGGTGCTGCCGTGGGCTGCAGCAGCGCATCGCTGGCTCGATGCATCATTTCGAGCGCACGACGTAGATGCTCCTTGACGCTGGGCTCCCTCAACAGCGACTCATTCAGCATGCTCTTCCAGCCGGTGTACCAGCGCGAGATTTCCGCATAGTCGGGCGACTGGTTAAGCCACATGACGAGCACCTGCATCCAGCGTGGGAAGAAGTGCTTGTCCAGCAGCTTGGCCATGTGCATGGGCGGTATGAGCTCGTGCCACTCCCACACCTGGTTCCACTGCTCCAAGTCCTGGTGCAGCGGATTGATGATGAACTCGGAGAGCACACCCTGCAGCTTGGGCGTGATGTGATGCTGCAGAAAGTCAACCATTTCCTCCTCCGGAAAGGCCTTGGCCCAAGGTGTCAGCATGGCGCGCGCAGATCGATCTTGGGGAGACCACGCCTGCAGCGCCACGCCCAGTTTGCTGCGTATCTGCGGGTAAACAGACTCCTCCAGCTTGCTGCCGAGAATTGCGTGCCAAGGCAGCACCCAGCTGTGGATGGGCACAGTGTCCGTGAGCGGATCCCAATCGTAGACGCCCGAGACGAGGCGCGGCAGCACCAGCTGCTCCAGCACAGAGTCCAGCACCCAGGTGGGCAGCAGCGGCGCCCAGGCATCGAGTAGGGCAGCCATTGGCGGATGCTCCTTGGGCTGCCAGAGCGCGGCACAGGCGCGAAACGAGGGCATCACGCCCGCCCAAATCAGCGACGAATATGGATCGAAAACATTACGTGGCTGCTGTTCTGCGGGCTCCTCACGCTGCAGCATTCCACGCCATTTCTTGATCAGCTGCAGCGGCTGTGTGGGCTCCTCGAGGGGCTGCCACGAGACCAACTCTCGCTTCACCAGCGGCGCAATGACGCCTGCGGCGAGATCAGCCAGTCCGAATTCCTTGAACTCTGCGCCATAGTCCTCCAGCAGCTGCAGAAACAGCTGCTCCGCGGCATGCAGCGTAATGTCAGGATCCTCGCTCAGCCGCTCCACCCGCAGGAGCACCGCCTCGAGTGTGCTGATGTGATTCCGCTCCAGGTGGACGATCTCCTCAAGCTTTTTGTACTCGCACTGGAGCGCCGTCTGCTGGCTCTCAGACTCCCGCTCCGACTTGTCAATGGCTATGATCTGCTGCTCGCACTGGCTCACCAGCAGCTGCAGATTGTGCGTCAGCTCGGGCAGGGCGAACACGGGGACGGCTGCACCGCTTGCCTCCGCATCGTAGAGCGTCTCCTCGGGTGTGATTTTGGTCTGCCCGAGCGCATGGTAGCCGCTGAGCACACGTTTTTCCGGTCCCGTCATATCGATGACGGGCACGTTGCCCAGCTGCTTGCTGAGCTTCTCAGAGAGTAGGTGCGTCGACTTCTTGCCCTTGGCTATTACCTCCTCCACGGATTTGTAGTAGTAGCGCCTGCCGGACTTCTCCTGCGGCTCTGCCACGCCTCCCTTGCGCCACTTGTTCATTTGCTCCTTGAACTCCTTCGCCTCACGCACATCCTCGTCCACTTTGATGGCCTGCGCCTTACCGCCAATGCTGGCTGCAGTCTCGGGGCCATACGCGCCAATGGCGCCGCGTCCTTTGCGCACGTGCGCTTGCACCGGCTGCGAAATACCTTGCAGATCCTTGCCCAGACCCTTACCCGGCTCGTAGCCCATCTGCAGCAGCAATTTGGCGCCAATGCCGCGCGTATGCTGCTCCCAAGCGCCCACATTTCGCGTGCCAGCGATGTGCGAGTGATGCTGGAACGTGGTTTTCGCCCTCATTGAGGGTCGCTCCTGCTCCTGCTCCCCCTCGGAGCTGTTTGAACTCGGATCACTCTGGCCAAAGGCCGGGCGTCCACTCTCCCTTGAGTCGTCGCTCTTCTCGCCCGCTTTGGCGTCGTCGGCCTCCTCCTTGCCGGCTTTTTCTTCACCCTTTAGCAACTTTTTCTTCTTTTTTCCCGCCTGCTGTATGCCGCCGGCCACAAAATTCACGGGCATTGTGTAGTCCTTGGTTTGGCGGCCATGCCGCTTCTTGCCGCCACCATCGCCGGGGCTCTCCTCGTCGCTGTCGTCCGCCCAAATGCCTAGAAAGAGGTTTTTTTAGTCATTTTCCTACTGCTGGCAGAAAGAAATTCTTTACCATAGATCTGCTGATGCTTGCTGTGCCGCCCGCGTGGTCTGTTCGTATTGAACTCATTGTCCAGATCGTAGTCGGTGATCTCAAAGCGCTCGTACTCGTTGTCCGACATTGTTTAATCGCTTAATTTGGCTTAAAAGTTGATGGCAACAAAATGTAAACAAACAATTCAGCACGGCAAATGTTAGTGATGCGCAGCAGGAATTTCATCAGGGCTAGAGATGCACTGGTTTCGATAGTTGGCCGGCATGCTAAAAAACTGCGTGAATATAAGGAAAATTTGATTATATTTTAATTCTTTAGGAAATCGATGCTGATTATGATTTTCGAATTTGATAGGAGCTGGAACATGCAGCCTAACAGCTTTTTGGATCAGTCTCTTCATCTTCTTCTTGTTGTGACATCGATAGCTGCAGTCCTATTTCTTCGTTTTTGGTATCTATATATCGATACTTATACATTTATTCTATCGATGGCTTTATTAGAACTCAAATTCCACGTAATACAAACGGTAATTTCATTGATCTTCCCTGGATCTTAATGCCCGGTACCCAGATGCCAACAATTTTCTTGCCATATATTTTTGTCTGTGTCCATGACCAAAGTGGGCAAATGCATGCTCTCTGGGTACACTGTTTGTGTTTGTTAACAAAGTGAAATCCGATTAAAAATGCAAATGTTGTATGAAATCATGTGGAGTGTGTTATTTCAGAGGGGATATATGGCTTGGAGGACAACAATGGATGGAGAAAGAACCGCATTATTGGATAAGTCCGTTCCTGAGGGACAGAAATGCAACAAACTTATGTTTTATCTCCTTGTAAATTGATCAAATGAGGGCCGGGAATAAGATTAATGAATTCAAAATCCATCTATTCATATTTTCTAGCCCTCTTGCGCTTGTTTCGCTGGTTCCCTTCCTCGTTTCTTGTTTCTATCGACAGCAGATAGACTTCATCTCTCTTTCGCGTCGGTATTTTAGTATTTAACGATCTGGTTTTGTGGTATATGATCTGTCGAATAAAATCATATGATTCCATATATCGGTAGACCGAAAATTTTGGGCATCTTAGTACTGGGCCTTAAGAAGAAATTACATAAGAAATGTAAAAGGTCACAGTTTAATGCATGGATAATATTCCATGAAGCAAAGAATTTCTAATAGTTTAAATCGCCACAAACATGAAGCTGATACTGTTGGTCTTCCTCGTGTAAATAGTTTCTATTGCAGGTTAAAGTGGAAACTGAAAAGCGTTATGTAGTTGAGAAAGGGCTGCCAGAGGAAGCCAGATTTAAATGGCAATGATCAAAATTCGTACGTAAGAAATGAAAGTTCTCGCATTTTATCCATAATTTACCATCTGAAAGTTTATATAAATGCTGAAAATTTCTGAAATATCAAATCGACAGACTAATGGTCTTCCTTGCATTCCTGTCGATTAGTCACGCAATTTTGTTGCCCAAGCATAACACCGGTGAAGCCAGCTCTCAATATCAAATTTCGAATTCAAATTCAAAAACGATTAGTGCCTATGTCATATCGATAACTGAAGCCGAAAGTCTCACTGCTATGACACTCACACTCCGCTACTATTCTGCTATAAAACGAGGCAAATATTGGTAAACAAGGTATTAAATTAACAAGTTCTTAGCGAAATGCATAGCATGTTGCAGCGACTCAAAGCAAATTACACTTAACCAATCAATCATTCAATCAATAAAAAATATTTTGTTTTTCCTTTTTGTGCTCACGTTTGAAACGCAAACATGAGTCCCAGTGTAAACGTATATTATTTCTGTGCTCATATTTGAAACGCAAACATGAGAAGGGAAAGAGAGGAAATTGATGACCCAATCCTCTTCTTGTAGCTGACGTCGTAATAAGTCGTATAATCGGTATTTAAAGTGTTCGATATCGAACTCTATAATATAAGAAAATATGGCTAATATAGGATAAAATATTAAATCAACAACTTAAATTTTAATTAATACTAGTCCTTAGGTGCTAGTCCCTGGGGTCCGTCAAGCTCCTCAACGTTCAGAATCTTGATTGGCTGAATAGGATTTTAACGAGGGCCAACTTGCGGCACATTGGCCGCCGGATTGACCTCATCTATTGTTAGGAACTCCTGCTCCCAATTGTCCTGCTGTCCCTCAAATAATGGAGGCCGTACAGGTCGTAAAAACATGGTTTTATTTTTAAATTAAGTATTTTTCGATAGGTTTTCAATCGATAGTTTTCTCTTTCTCAATTTTATTGGTGAATTTATACCGATATACCGATCAAAAAAATACATCGGAGGGTTGAAAACACCGGGTGTAATTTACCTTGCAGCCCAAGAATTTATTGTGAAATTTTACTTGTGGTCGACACCTTACATTTTCTGAACCATTTCGCAGCTGATGCAGGGTTGTATCTGAAATCTGTTTTTAAAAATTTCCACAATCACGACGTTCAGTTCTCGCACGGAAAATCCAGCTCGCAGCCCGGAAAACGTGGAAGTCGCGTAAAAGTGCAGCAGCCCCAGCGAACCAACATCAAGATGCAATGAATTCGCGCAACAAAAGCAACAGCAAGCACACACAAAACCCCAGCGACAACAAGAATTAAATTGAAAACGCAACAAAAGTTCTCGGGCCGCCGCGTGTTTTATTGCTGCATTTCTCCCGCTCTTTCCCGCTTCTCGCTACCAAACTGCAATGTGTGTGTGTGTGCGCTCGTGTGTTGATATTGAATAAAAATCAAAAAAAATACGAATAAACGGGGAATATTAATAATAAAACAAAAGTGAAATTAGCACGTGCTACCCGTTCTCTCTCTTTCTATCGCGCGCGCTCTTTGCCCAATCTTTAAGTTGTGTGCGTTGTTGCTGTTGTTGTTGTAACTTTGCTTTTGCGTTTTTTGTTTTGTCCGCAATTCGTACGCTCTCTGTCGCTCCACTGACGTTAGTTTGCCGGTTAAGGTGCTTTGATTTACCGTTTCTGGATTTCTGGATAATATTAACTCAGCAGAAAAATGGTGCAGGTCAGTAAATTACAGTGGATAAAAAAACACCTGGTACGGGGAGTAAAGTGGGACTTGCAGTTGTATGAAACAGAAAGTAGTTGAGGAAAAAATTGCCTCTAAGACATTTTTGGACCACAAAAACTGAGGAACACTTATTTTTGATTGCGAAAATTCGTTTCACTAAGGTGCACTTTCTTTTGATACCAAAAGAAAGAATTAAAAATTAAGAAATTTAAAAAAATTATAAAAGTCATTAAATTATAATTACTCTTGAAAAATATAAACATTGGAAAATAATAATCAATAAACGTTCCCAAAATTCTTGGAAAGGCTTTTCAAAATTTGTTTTCTTGTAAACTTAAAAATTGTCATAAATGGAATTAAAAGGAATAAAATGTGTATTATTAGAAGACTAGAAGCCTATAATATTATCTGTTAAATATGGAGCGCAGCAGTGACCCCAAGAAAGACTGAGCATTGGATCCTTTCCTCTCAAAATTGACAAAAGCAAACGAAATCTTTCGGGAAATTAAAATTGGAAAGGATATATGATTGTATTTAAGTTAAGGGAACATCCGCCAAACAATTGATTTCCTTCGCCATAGCTTTTGCTTAGAAAAGAGTTTATTTTTGGCTCCATCTAAGATTATTTTTGGTCCCAATTATAACTTCCACAGTTACGAATTCCTCCTTAGGAGGACCATAAAACTAAAACGAAGCTTCCACTGCAATCTCCTTTTCCCTGCTTTGTACCCTTTAAAAAAAAACACAAAATACCACCAATAATTTCCTGCTTTTAAACCGTAAATCCGCATTTTGACTCCTCAAATCACAGTGTAAAACCCCTACAAAGTCAAGTTTCACAACGTTTTCAAAATCCCTAAATCAAAAAATTGGAAAACATTTATTTTTTCCACCCCATGGAATGGGCTGCTGTCGCTGGCTGACCTTTTGACGTAACGTTTTGATACGGGGATACAACCCTCTGCGATTCCTGAATGGGATACAAGAACTGGAAAATGCACCACCACCCCCATCGTACCCGGTACACGCCTCACCGCCACCCCAAAAGGCTAGAACGCCCCACTCCACACGCCTTGGCAATGCAGTGTCCCAAACGGGAATCAACCACCACCAAAACTGAATATTCCTATATGGAAAAATCCCAATTGGCCTCGGGAGTTGCCAGGGAAATTGCAGGACCATTAGAGGAGATATCCGGCCTGCTGCGCCTCTCTGTCGAAGCGTAATGAACACCCAAAAACGTTGCATTTAGTCAATTTTCCATCCACCAAAGCAGCGGCACGGCAAAAGAAAAACATCAAATTTGCTTTTGCTAGCTTAACAAGGATGCGAATGTGGGGGTACCCTAGGAAAAAAGTGCGGAGTAATGGAAAGCAATTTATGGTTAATATTTGTTTGTGGAAAAGAAGAGAAGAAAGTTTAAATATATTTATGTCGAAGGGGCCTCTAAGACTCTTGAATACATTGATAAATCAAAGTTACCTAAACTGAAATATACGTTTTCTCCAACATATCCCTCAGATAGATATATTTGCGAGCAATGAATGCTCAAATATTAATTGTCTGACGAAAAACATACTGTATTTTCATACCAAAAATTGTTTTCCTTAAATTGTATTTCCCAAATTAATTAATTTGCTCAATATAATTATCTGTAAATATTTATACAATTTCCACAAAATGTTGAATGCCTGAAATATTATTCTTGGATTTATAATTCCCATAAAATGAAATATTACGCTGCTCTCGATATTTATTAAAACCAACTTATAAGGCTCTCCCCATTTGATACCCTACAAAAACCAGTCCTTATCTAGAGATTCTCTCTAGAGAGAGATTCTCTCTACTCCCTCCGCCGACGAATGACTGAAGTTCCAGTTTTCGATTTGAAAATGCGTTTTTGCGACCAACTGTTCTCCACGTATCACGTCCACGTGTCCTGGCCGGGTGGAGTCTGTGTGGGGCACACATAGAGAACCAGGTCCCGCTCTGTGCCGCCACCTCCAGTCACACACACACAGCCGCCGCTGCCCGCTGCATCCACGTCAAAGCGCATTTTGCACATTTGCGTTTGCCGAGGAGGCCTAGGCCTAGAATGGGGAGTGAGAGAGCGGGTGGATTGGGTGGTACAGTGGGGTGGTTCGGTTCGGTTTTAGGTTGCGCTTTGGCCTCTGTTCAATAGCTAAAAACGAGGCATTTCTGACGTTTGACCGAACTTTGTTGCTGTTGTTTCAGTTGTGCCCAGCAAGGAGTACTCCACCCTCGAGTCTCCTGCCAATGCTGCGACTCTCTGCTCTGCCAGAGCCTCTGTTGCTAATGGCATAGCCAGAGACAGAGGGAGAGCATGGGGCAGGGTAATAGGCACATTTGTACACTGGACTTTGTCCTGTTCCCACTCTTCTGGGGAGTCTCTTATTTTGTAGCTCCATCCCCCGGTGAAACCCCCACTCGGGACCGACAAATTTTCAACGAGGATAACAGACACGGGACCCATGCTAATCAGGACAATTAAGTTAATAGTGGTACTAGTGTGTATCCGTGTAGCAGCTACATATACATATGTGTGTTTGTGTGGATCCACAGACGGCTAGCTAAACTAAAAAAAGATATATAGGAAAGAGATATGGAGAGTCTGAGCTATTTCATGCCCACTGTAAGCACCAGGGAACAAGCGTGGAAACACGTTGAATCGCTGTACGAATGTGCCCATAAGCGAAAGGAGACATGCCATTGGAATGGAATCTAGCTGAAAATAGTTTCTAAATTACGAGAAATCATTTAATAAAAACTTAATAAGCCTTGTCCCATTTGTGTTTGTGTTTATTTATTTTTTTGTAAATATAACAGTAAAAAATTTCCGCCTTTTTAACAACAATTTAGCATACACTTTTGAATCCCTTTAAGGCCTTCTTTTGCATTTTCGTATCCCTCTGACATTTTCTTGCCCATTTTCGTATCCCTTTGATGAGTTTTTTTTTTCTCATTTTTCCCATAATTATTTCAATTGCCGCTGCCATTTGTGTGCCACGGGCTGTAGTTTTAGGCTTTTTACTTGAACCCAGGACTCTACTTTGCTGTTCGCTTGTGCGCCGGTTCGGGGCAGTGCTCCCTGCTCGGACTCCAGTTTCCGTTTTGTGGCTGCTCTCCTTGGACTCCACTTTGTGTTGCCTTTCAAATCACTTTGCTTGCCACGCCCCTGCCCCCCCACAGCCTGCCCCCCTCGCTCGTGCAGTTTCCATGGCAAAATGTTGAAATGTTCCTTTTGGCTTCCGATTCGATTTCTCGTGTCCTGCCTTGCTCGTCCCGCTTCCTTGAGGGCATTTTCCACTCTGCATGAAAAGGTTTTTCCCTTTGCACATGATGTGGGTTTTCCACGTGTGCTGCTGCTGTTGCTGCTGTTGCTGCTGCTGCGTGCTGTGCGTGTGTGGACTTTGCTTTTCAATTATCAAATGCATATGCCTTCAGTTTTTTCATCTTTCTTTTGTTTAGCTTGTGCTTTGCACCCCTCAAGTTGTTCCTTTCTTGGTCTTCTTGTGTGCATTTTTACCCGCAGTTTTCTTGTGGTTAAGGTGTGGAGGAGTTTCTTTTGAGCAGGATCACAATTGCTCGCGTGTATCCCCCATGGACTCGCTATAGTTCATGTTGTAGTACAGTGTAGTCGTCGAAGAAGATTGACTCGGGTCACAGCGACCCCTAAAGGTGGTCCTGGACGTGTTTGCCATGTCGTGGCCCCTGAAGATAAAACCAGGTGGATGGGCAGCAGTGCCACGCTGAATTGTAGGCATAGAAGTCGCGCCAGCTGCCTCAAAGTTACGATATGAATTGGAGGGGCTCGGCTTGGGCCAAATAAAATTCTCGCTAGCCACGTAGTTTGCTTGGGATATCGCCTGCGACGCCTCCTGTTGGGCCTCGTTGAACTGGAGCCTGTTTGGTGGCGCCACTATGAGGCGCAACACTTTGCGGCAACCCCAAAAGGGATAACGTAACAGCAACCAGATCTTGGTGTAGAAAAACAGGTACAGCAGACAGAAGATTCCGACTTCCCGGTGATCCGAGGCGCTGTAGATCAACCAATAGGCAATGCTTCTGAGAGCGCAACGATGGACTTGCCGAAAGCGGCCGTGATGGAACAAAATATGATCGAATCGTCTACAGCCCAAGGCAAGGGCATAAAAGCAACCAGTTAACGCCAGAGCCATGGTGGAAGGCCGCTCGTAGAGCATCTCCTGGAAGGCCGTCCACAGGGAACCCTCAAGCACCAGGCGCAGATGTCCAGTGATGTAAATCATAATCCATGTGGCCAGTTGGTAGCCCAAGAATGCCGTCACGCTGTACAGGCAGTAGTGAGAGTCCTCGACTTGTGGTGCAGCCAGCCAGAGAATAAATCCAAGCGAGAATTTGCTCAAACGCCACTTGTCGGTGGCGGTGGTCTCCAGTGTGAGATTGTAGGCCAGTTCCGTGTGGATGCCATAGCAGGTATTGGAATTTTTCTTCAAATCTATGTACTTATCCTTTCCCGGCATGGCCTTGCCCTCGACCCACTCCTTGCGCTGGCGATGTGCCTGGTGGATTTCATGCGCGGTCTGCTCCTTGTACTGAGTGTAATCCGCTCCATCTTCGATTTCCAAATGTAGGCGATTGCTTTGAAAGATCTTCCAAAAAGAAAAGTCCTCCTGTGCCTGGCAAAAGATTTGCACGCGATTTGTGTGTGTGAACTTTTGCATCAGGCTCTGTGCCTCCTGGCTGTGCGTCTCACCGGGCAGCAGGAACTTTGCCACATGATAGCTGAATCCCTTTTGCAGCGCTACGATTGGCAGCAAAATCAAAAGAAAAGCAAAAAGTTTTTTCAACATTTTATCGTTGTGATTTTACGTTATTTATGAGAAAAAATGTGTCGTAGCAGAGATACGTTTAGGTTTGACAGAAGAATCAATGATATTTTGTTTTTATAATCCTTTTAAATAAAACTGTTAAATTATATGTGATTTGCTCTA